GTTGCTGGTCTGAGTGATTTGCGCACCTAACGCATATACGCTCAAAAGCACTTTAATCATTAACAAAAAGGGAAAATAAAGTTGTTTTTTCCTCAAACACTAAATCTGAAGCGTCTGGCTTTTTCACCTGTACATTTATGTGTTCAGCAGATGCTTTGCAGGGTTTATGATGTTGAATTTAAGACCAAGTAAAGAATATTTCAGGAATAATTGGAATGGAACTCAATACAGTCTCCATATATCAAGTTTGAAAATATAACAACGTCTATTATATCGTCTCATCACAATGTTCTTCATCAGTATTTTGCCTTGTTTTCCAGCGCAAATGTCTAAAGACTCAAAGGAAAATATATTAAGACGGCAAGTCTTGTTTTATGAGGAATTGAGTTTATGTCTGTCAGTGGGCTCAGAAAAATCTACGTAATTCAAAGGGAAAACAAGTTTTCAGACACATTTGACAGATAATTGTCTCACTTCATTTAGCGTCTCCAGTAAATGTACGGATTTAAAGATGTTTAGATCTATGCACTGGAAAACCAGACAAACATACTCATCTTTTTCAAGTGCATGCAACAATTAATGCCATGACTTCAAGCCTTTCGGCTCTGGTTTAAGACCGATATCATTTGTGGAGATGAGAATTAAGACTCACAGTAACCCTCTTTTATCCAAAGTGACTTCCAAAAGTGTGCATTTATTATTTAATACAAGTGGATGAAGTCAAGCACAAAATATATTTTTTCATCTTTATTGCAATTGTTTCCATTGAGAAACATGTCAAATGCATAAACAATTAAAACACTGAACCAGTCATCCGAGAGAATAAGTGCAAATCAACCAGAGATCATATTGTACTGAGGATCAGAAGAGTCATACACGTTTGCAAAAGGTGCTAAATCTAGAAAAACCGAGACTGAAAACACGTGTGCTTCTGACTCATAAATCACGAGTGTCGTGGATCTTGATTGATTGATTGGTGCTTTGAATCTAATGAAGCACTAATATATGAGTGCGTTACTGGTGATTATCATCGAAAGCTACTGATCTCTTAGTGCTTTCCTTTCATGTGAACTAGTAGTTAGCCCTTTAACCTCCTTCACCAAGTGTACTCAGAAACTGAATAAACAAACCTTGACGTCGTGTTGTGTGACGTGCAACCAAACGATTAGACGAACTAGAAAAGCAAAGCATGGAAGCAAAGCTATCGGCGAACCGTTTAACAAAGAGCAGATAATTCAAAGTTGAAGCTGTTTGACCGCACGGGTTCAGCTTTGAGAAAATATAAAAGAATATTTCAACCAACATGAAAATGTCTTTGCAAATCCATATGCTGTGATTGTTTTCAGTCAAAAACAAAAGCAGAACTTTAGAGCGTCTCCTTTGGAGTTCCTCTGAAACACAAGAAGTGTGTTTCCGTCACGGAGTAATACAAACAAAAACAACATTTATGACTTTCTCACAATCCAGACAACTCTCAGTTTTGCCATTTTTACTTTATTCTCAGAAATGCAAGATATAAACTCGCAAAAAAGTCAAAATTGTGAGATGTAAACTCGAGCAAAATTATACAATTCTATAATTTTTCACAATTCTGAGTTTATATCTCGCAGTTCACAAAATAACTTTTTTTCTCGCAATTGTGAGTTTATATCTCCTAATTCTGAGTTTATATCTTGCCATTCTGACATTTTATTTCTCAGAATTTCCAGATTTAAACTCTTAAAAAGGAAGTCAGAATTGCGATAGAATTCTGACAGTTTTTTCGTAATTCTGAGTTATGAGTTTACATCCCACAATTCTGTTTTTTGTTTTCCCCCACAAAAACATAAACTCAGATTTATGAGAAAAAAAGTCAAAATTGCAATAAACTCAGAATTCTGGCTGACTTTCTTGCAATTGAGTTTATCTCTCAAAATTCTGACTTTTTTTCACAATACTGATTTTATATCTTGAAATTCTTATTGTTTCCCCAAAGAAAAATAAATAAATTGTGATTTTTTTTAATTCTGAAGTTTATATCTTCAAATTCTAAGATGCTATGTCGCAATTCTAACTTGTGAGATATAAACTCATAATTTCTGAGAAAAATGTCAGAATTTAAAAGAAAAGAAATTTGCGATGTAACAGCATTCGGACTTTTTTCACAATGCCGATTGTACATCTCACAATATTGTTTTTTTGTTTTTCACCACAAAATAAACTTTTCTTGCAATTCAGATTTTCATAAAAGTCAGAATTGTGAGTTTATATCTTGCAATTCTGCTTTATATCTTTTTAATGCTGAGATTGCGTCGCAATACTAAAAAAAGTCACACCTGCTGTATTATCCCATGTGAGAAACGTGATGCTGTGTTTAGGCGTTGAATGGCTTTCAGAAGACGAGCAGCTGTCTTTGGCGCCGGATGTCTCCTGACAGCGTGGGATTGTTTAGGTCATGAGCAGGCGATGCACGCGCTGCAGCTGCTGCTGCGACAGGACGAGGCGGTGTGTCTGCGAGCGCAGGGAATCATCACCTTCCCCACCAGCACCGAGCCGCTCTGCTGCTCCGCTCTGGCCTGAGACACACACGTCTGCACGTTCACTAATGCACAGACTTCGAAAGCTTAATAAATCACGTGTTTGTCAGCTCTTACCTTGACGAAAGAGGCGGAGGGGAACGTGGCGAAGTCGGACGGCATACGAGCTCCAGGCTGCTGCGAAACGATGTGCTGCGACACGTCAGCCTGAGACACACACACACACACACACACACACACACACACGGTCAAACAGCAGCAGAACACACTGCACTTCATCAAAATTAAAAAAAAAAAGTCAAACCAAAAATGTTTTTGTCAAGTTTAAAAACTCTTTTTTTGGAGTGAAAAACATTTTTAAAGAGAAAGAAAAAATTCTCACATTTTGTAAGGAGAAAATGATTTTTTAGAAGAGAAAAGTTCTCTAAGAGAATGTTTTTTTTGGGTGAAGACATTTCAACCTCTCTCAGACCAGGAGAAAGTGTCGTATCTGTTAGGAGAACAGAAGAACTGCTGTGTGTTTGCTGCTCAATATGTGTCTGCCTGTCACCACAGAAGAGAACACACTCAGCCTGCCCTGATCTGATGTTTCCAGCACAGCTACATTATATTAGATTACATTATATTAGATTACATTATATTAGAGTACATTAGATGTACATTCTGCTTCTGTAAATCTGTCTAATCACTTATTTTAATTTTATTTCTAGTTTATATACTTATACATTAGTAATTAATTTTACACTACATGCTTAATACTTTTTATATATTATTATTATATTATTATTTTTCTTTCTGTTAATACATGTGTACTATTTGTGAGCAGTCCAGCTGCAATTGCTTTGGCAATACAAATGTATAATTTTTGTCATGCCAATAAAGCACTCTTAAATTGAATTGAATTGAATTGAGAGAGAGAGAGAGAGAGAGAGAGAGAGAGTGTGTTTTCTCAGCGGTTATCAGTGATCTGCGTTGCTTGTTGAGACCTGAGGTTTTCCCGCTGATGTCGACGACTCTGAGGCCGGCGCTCATCTTCAGCAGGTTGTTCAGCAGCAGGTCAGTTCTGCGGTACAGAGATCCGGCGGGAGCCTCCTTCGTCATGTTCACCGGCTGCAGCGGCGGCAGAGACGACAGCTGCGCTCGCATCTTCTCAGCCTGCTGGGGTCAGAGGTCAGAGGGCAGAGGTCAGAGTCTGGACCTGTGTGTGTGTGTGTGAAGCGGCTCACACTGACCTTCAGTCTGTAGTTGTCACTCTTCAGCTGCTTGATGGCGAGTCGCTGCACGTCGATCTGCTGTTTGAGGAGAGGAGAGTCCACCACCTGAACCTCACCGGAGACGCCGCTCACCCCCCCTGAACACACCCACTTCACTCCATCTCTTCTCTTCATCTTCAGCAGGTTGTTCAGCAGCAGGTCAGTTCTGCGGTACAGAGATCCGGCGGGAGCCTCCTTCGTCATGTTCACCGGCTGCAGCGGCGGCAGAGACGACAGCTGCGCTCGCATCTTCTCAGCCTGCTGGGGTCAGAGGTCAGAGGGCAGAGGTCAGAGTCTGGACCTGTGTGTGTGTGTGTGAAGCGGCTCACACTGACCTTCAGTCTGTAGTTGTCACTCTTCAGCTGCTTGATGGCGAGTCGCTGCACGTCGATCTGCTGTTTGAGGAGAGGAGAGTCCACCACCTGAACCTCACCGGAGACGCCGCTCACACCCCCTGAACACACACACTTCACTCCATCTCTTCTCTTTTCACTTTCAGTTTAGTTATAGTTTTAGGAATTAATAAAAAATAGTTAAAATGGCAATGTCGACGTGTCCAGCTTCTTCTCCAGCAAACTCAGACGAACACTGGCCTCGCTCAACTCCTCACCCTGAGTGATTGGGCACATCCACAGTTCATTCATTCAGAGATGTAAAAATATTATTTTGGATAATAATAATTAGGGCTGTTCACAATTATCATGACCAACGAAGACAATTAGCGTAGACATTTAATTTGGACATTTTCACTTAGGGGTGTACTCACTTTTGTGGCCAGCGGTTTAGACATTAATGGCTGTGTGTTGAGTTATTTTGAGGGGACACAAATGTACACTGTTATACAAGCTATACACTCACTACTTTACATTGTAGCAGAGTGTCATTTCTTCAGTGTGGTCACATGAAAATATATAATAAAATATTTACAAAAATGTGAGGGGTGTACTCACTTCTGTGAGATACTGTATATATATATACATATATGCACACTGATATTATTTATAATATCTGTATCTAAAAAAGAAAAATCCTGAGCCTGAACTTTTTTCCGGGGGTTGGGGGGGGTGAACACATACACAGGGTTATTTGGCAAAAAAAAAAAAAAAGAACATTATTTGAAAATAACTTTCCTTGAAACTAACTAGAAACGTATCTGCCCTTCCCATTAGCCCTTGCCAGGCTCAGACTACAGATTATAGCTGGATATTTAAAACAGCAATAACAAGAAAGTTTACTCACTACAATATGGTGCAAACACATGTAACATTTAGATATCTGATCACGTGAGAGAAACTCGTACTTCTCCTTCTTCTTCAGCAGAGTCAGAGCGTCGTCTAGTTTGGTCTGGATCTTCTCCACGCGCTCGTCTGCGTCTCTCGTCGACGTGTCCAGCTTCTTCTCCAGCAAACTCAGACGAACACTGGCCTCGCTCAACTCCTCACCCTGAGTGATTGGGCACATCCACAGTTCATTCATTCAGAGATGTAAAAATATTATTTTGGATAATAATAATTAGGGCTGTTCACAATTATCGTCACTCTTTGGAAATGTTAACAAACTTGTGGCACCCTACAAAATAATTTTGTCACAATATTTGAATTTCTAACTTCGATGTGATAATCTGAAAAGTATAGATATTCGGTACAACAGGGAAGAACTGCAGAATATAATGTCATACAGATATTTTTAATATTATTTTGTCCATCAATGGTGGCAATCAGTAGGCTAATTTCTAATGAAGAGACCAATTTATATGACAGATTTTAATGTAGACTTTTATTCATATGTAAACATTATTTAATTACCATTATAACTAGCTATCTCACACATGTTTGCTCACTCAGTGTTTTTTTTATTTTACAGCTGGGTCATTCTGGTTCAGTAGCATGAGACAGCTTGATTTCAAACTTTGAATTGAATAAAAAATGACAAGTAAGCGGTCAGTAATAAAATAAGCACAAATAAAGAAATTAATAATGATAGCACAAATAAAATATAACGACAGGCTTTTGAATTAAATACAATGCTTTTTAGTTTTTCAGGTAGGTCTAACAGAAGGTTTTTTTTTTTTACCAATTATCCAAATAACGCTTAGTCCTAGAAAGCTATTATTATCAGAACACGTGAGCGTAATACAGCGGTCAGCAGATCAGTGAATGAGAGGGTAGTGTTACCAGAGTTGCTCATATACCACACCATGTTACACACAGTAGGGCTATTGCAGACAGAAACAGTACTGTACTACATCCATGTGTCCTGTCGGCTCAATGTTTGAGTGGACTTTGCTGTTCCGATTCGCATGAACGGTATATGAGTGGAGCAGTCACATGGGTCGTGAGCAACTGAGCGGAGCGCACACGCATAGAGCGGATAATACGCAGAGCCAGTGTTGCCAACTTAGCAATTTTGTTGCTAAATTTAGCAACTTTTCAGACTACCCTAGCAACTTTTTCTTCCAAAAGCACCTAGCAACAAATTTAGCTATTTTTAAATTTTATTTGGCTACTTTTAGCAACTTTTGATAAGTGACTCAAACAATAAAAAGGCACACATTTTCCATCTAAATTTTACAAAAAGAGGAAACCAAAGATTTCTAGAAGTACATAACAATGATAATTTAATAACTGTTCATTTATGATACACCTTGTTAGTAGCTTGTACATGTGATTGTTGATCAGTTAGTACACTGTAAGAAAAATATCTAGAAATATGGCAAAGGTACTAGTAATTTTCCAGGACATTATCCGTTATCCATTATCTGTTGTAACCCAGTAACCTGAAAACACAAAATGCAATGCGTAATGCAGGTGAAAACCTGTGATTTATTTTCTTAGCGCGTAGCATACTGACTACTAATACACTGCTTCAAACTATAATTGTTCAGAACGTGTAGTTTTACTTGTTTACTAGCTAATAAAAACACTTGTAATCGTTCAAAAATGTAATCGTTCAAAAGCGTTCAATGTTGTATATAAAAATAGTTTATATTTTAACATATTATGCATTTATAGTATTTTACGAACAAATTTAAATTAACATAAAAAATATATTTTTGCTGAGACAATTTTGCGTCGTGAGTACGTAATGACGTCATCGCGCAATGACATCACAACATCATTTAGCAACTTTTAGCAGCAAATCGACCTTCCTTTAGCAGCTTCCCTGAAAATTAATGGGCAACACCAATCCTGAGCCGTCAACTCATTTTCGGCAGCCGAAATTTCGGTGCATCTCTAATTATCGGCGACATCAGATATGGATATTATATAATAAATGCTTTTTTGAACATTTTAGCAATTTAAAAATATTAAAAAATGATTTTTTTACACGGCACCCCGGTTGGAAACACTGCTCTAAGAACTGGTAACTTAAACAGGGTTCGTACAGATACTGCAACATAACATTCCTGGACTTTCCAAGCACTACTCTTTTGGTTTTCAAGGACTAAAATCAGATCTCACTCATCACTTATCAAAAAATATCGTCATTATCTTTCAAATTCTAATATATAAACTAATAAAACAAATGGTACAAATAAAGTGCGGCACATGCAAAGAATGCAATGACTGGCAACTTTAACATCTGAAAGGATACTATGGCAAAGATATCGCTTTCCTTATTCAAACTGATTTTTTTCCCCCACGAGTATATGATTGACCTGAAGAATGAAAGCTAGGCTATATCATACACTTGGAAAAGTATGAGCTATATCACCGCTTATCGACACTAGGGGTGTGACAATACACCTAGCTCACGAGACGAGACAAAATACAGATACATGGTTCAATAGAACGAGACAATGTTTTAATACCTCAAGAAATATTCTAATGACAAAAAATGTGTCTTTTAATTACAAAAAGTAGAACAATGCAGTTATACTTTGAAAAGTTTTAACAAATCTAGGGCTTAGCTAACAATTATTATGCTAATCAAGTAATCTACTGATTATTTTGACAAGTGTGTTTTAGTAATACAAATAGAACTAAGTGAAAAACAGGCTTTAATATGATTATATTTATATATAAACTAATGATGAGGCAATAATAATGGGCTCAAATAAAGTATGAAAACCAAGTACATGGTTTTATTGAACAACTGTTAAATACATAAAGCAATATGCCTTTATTATAACAAACACCTGCAGAGGGCGCCAACGGCCTGGTGAGGTTTCATGCGATTCAACGACGTTTAAATCCATTTAATTTTAATATTTGGCCACATGCAAAGTAAGACACTTTTATTTTGAAATCGCGATCTACAATAAATCGCATATTTAGAAATATGTTGATGTATTCTGTGTTGGCATAGCTTTATAAATGACTTACGTTGCAAATTAAGTGAGATAACGCACAGTTTTCCCAGATGAACGTTAAGCAACCCAAACTCACCGCAGATGCAGAGGAAGAGTTCAGGCCCTTTCACACATACAGTCTTCACTGGTACATTACCCTTAAGAGATCATGTGTGAACAGACCTTTTTTTCAAAACTACAGGTAAATGCATTCTGCCAATCATATCGTTCTTATGGAGATGGCGTGTACAATAAATCGCATATTTAGAAATATGTCGATGTATTCTGTGTTGGCATAGGTTTATAAATGACTTAAGTTACAAATTAAGTGAGATACGCACAGTTTCCGCAGATGAACGTTAAGCAACCCAAACTCACCGCAGATGCAGAGGAAGAGTTCAGGCCCTTTCACACATACAGTCTTCACTGGTACATTACCCTTAAGAGATCATGTGTGAACAGACCTTTTTTTCAAAACTACAGGTAAATGCATTCTGCCAATCATATCGTTCTTATGGAGATGGCGTGATTACTCTGAGCTGTTTACAAAGCTCTGTTAATTATATAGAAGATAGCTTTTCTATATAAATATGGCTCTAGACGGAAATCTCCTCACAGCTTTTTCAGAATGTGTCGTGCTCATCAGCTGCGACTCTGCAGTTGGATACTAGTTATGCGCATCTCATGTTTATAGGACCAAAAATGTCTGATTGGCTAGTAATGTTAGTTTGGTTGAGAGTGAAAGCTGTGTTCCTCTCATACATTGGTAGGCGAACTCATTAACTCAAACGTGATATCAACAAGTTTTTTTTTAAATGTAGGACGACTATCTTATTTCCCACAGCTAAACGCCGCACACCGGAGATCTGGCACGGTGCCGGAGAACTTTAAGCCCTGATTTCTTTATTCATAATATCTAAACACCACGTTTTTAATATGTATTGAACTTTACACATGTATTTATTCATGATATCTTATATAAAGACGGAAGCGACGAGTTTTCTGCATTCTGACCTTGATCTTGAGGGATTTCTTCAGCTCTTTGATGACCGTCTCTCGGTCCTCCAGCTTGTTTCCCAGACCCTCGGCGTCGGTCATCTCGGCTCTGACGGCGGCGGCGCGGATCTCCACCAGCGGACGCTGCACAGACGACACACAGCACACGAGTCAGAGCAGCGGCATCATGGGATTGACTGATTACTGCTGTCAGTGTGTGTGTGTTTGTACCGGGCACTGCGGCCTCTCGCCGTCGTATTCTCCCTCCTGCATGGCGGTGGACATCTTGTTCATGGTGGCGATGAGGGCGGCGCAGGACTGACGCAGACACACGTATGCACTGAGTCCGTGAGAGCCGTACACCTGACGTCACACACACACACAC